TCAAAGCTTCTATAAATAAATCAAAGAGAGATCTTTCACTTATTGACAATTACGCAGCATATAAAGTCAGCCACCTATTCGGGGGATTACACATTCTTTGATCATTTTAGAACCGCAATTATTTCACACTTCTAAGCTTTCAAACAACGTCACCGTTGGTAAGTATTATATTACACCCCAATAGATTGAAATTTATAGTCTTATTCACCGCATTTAACAAAAAATGTGGAAAAGTGCGAATTTAAATGCAGATACCAATGTCTGGGAATCTAAAATGTTTCTTACAGAAGATCGTATTTTGTATTTCGAATTGGTGACCAAACCAGGAAGTAATTGGTTATTGCGGTATTGCAAGACTGCATCAGCTGAGACCTTTGTTCATCAAGGAATTGCAGCGTTTAGTGTACAAAGAAGAAGTTGGGTAAATACAGACTTTTTTACAACCATGTATGCATTAGTTCATTTCCCGAAGATCTGGAATACTTCGACATTCGATTGCAAGAAAGCTATTGTTGCATATTGAATTAATAATTCAGTTGGTAGTTCTTCTGGTTTCTTGGTTTTCATTGAGTTCTTACTTTATAATATTCAGAATTTTGACATTGGCAATGGGTGATCCAGCAATGGATTTTCCTCCTGGACGGTTCTTTTGCGGTTTTCTTACTTTGGTTTTATCTAACATCAATCCTTACTACTATAACATTAAGCCTTGGTACTAAACCACGATCTGCTGCGAGGTTTTATGTTTTGATTAGATTCATTGAGTGTACAATATATTTATTGGAAAGGGTTTTTAGAAATGATAAGAGAAAGAGAAAAATTTGCAACCAATATCCAAATCTGTAAAGGAGGCGCAAGTGCAATGAAAAAAATGATATGTATGTATGGATATTCCTATTGACTACAAGTAAAGTTTAAAGTTATAAACAATTTATATAGATGCTTAACTACAAGGCTGTGACCTTTAATTCCTGTGGCGTAGTTACCTGATCTGTAGATCTTCTACTTTTGACGAAGCTAAGAAACGAGACAAAACAGAAATTGAAAAGATAATCTCTCAGAGTCGAATATTAACTGAAATAGTCACGTTTTAGAGAGGAAAAACTGATGACAGCGAGGGTCATACTTCCGTTGCATGATTATTTTTATATAACCCAAAATAGCCTTATGCAATTTCTGTTGTTCGTATTTTACTAATATAGTTACGTCATTTCGTTAGTTAGGTGATCACAAGATTTTTTTTTTGGTGGTTGTCAAGTTCGGTGAGTACCGTTAAAAGTCGAAAAGAAATTTGGTTTCAAAAAATTTTCTAAGCCTCCTGTGGTGTCTATAATTAGCAACGCGAAAATAATTTATTGAAAGGTACAAAAAATTCTGAAACAAATTACATATGAGAATGTTACAGAGTATGTACCCAATTTTGAAACAAGCTTTTTCTGAGACTTAATAAATGGGGTGTCTGGTTAGAATATCTAAAAGCATATTGACATAAATTTGCATATTTGTATCAAAATTAGATACAAAACAATACGCTTAAATTATGTTCGCATGTATATGTGTTTGAGACATTGGTCGTGTATTTGTTAAATTAGAAATGAAAAATTTTCAGTGAGAGAGCGATGAATAAAAATAAGAATTATTTTATAATTATATATTTGTTTTATTTTATAGATTAAGGGTTTTATATAGTAATAAACTACTAGTAAGAATCAAACATAGTTGTGAGGATCTCATAAGTTTAAGCTTAATATATTTATCTAAAACTAATCTAGTTACGCGGGCTAATCCATATTATAGGTGCGAACAGATTAGAAGTCAAAGTGACGTTAAAATTACTCTTAGACTTGTTTTATTTAAATTATTCATCATATTAAATTTATTATTTTCAAAAATTGTTATTAAATTACATTACAAAGATGTCAGCTGAAAAGGATTTAGAAATCAAAAGACTCAGAGAGGAGGTTGAGAAATTAAGAGTTCAAGCAAGACCTCTTGCATCCGAATTGGACATCATGAATTTTGTGACCAAAAAGTTTTGCAAGCACTTAGACGAATTAAAAGAATTAAAACAACTTACTTCAAGCTCAAATATGATTGCGAGAAAATGGAAAGAATTGTTTTCAAAATTAGATGAAAGGTTAAAGAATTTAGTAGAAGCAATGATCTTAGTTGAAGGAAACGATTTTGATACCGATAATCTTGAGATTCCAACAATCCAAAACGTAATTTTTAGAGGCGATGATTTGAAGGTATTCGTCAAGTGTGCTGTTAGTGAATTCACCGATTTTATTTATGCGAATGTTCATAAGAATATCATAGAAGGTAGAAAAGACGTTATCAAGGCAGTCAAAGAATACTTAGATGATTTTACTGACACAAACGTTCCACAAAGAATGATGACCATTCTCATCGAAATGCACAATGAATCAATGTTTTTTAACTGCAATTTTACTGACATATTAGGTAGAGACGAACGTTTCGAAAATAACACCAATTGTGATGTTACGAAGTTTATATACAACCAACTTGATAGACACGACTTCCATGCTAGGATGTTTTACATTGCTTATAAGGATATGGTGTACCAGACCCTTCTTGACATTTACGTTGCCCATTATCATGAGTATAAGAAAGGTAGCGATGCCAAGTACACCGTCAAAGAAATTGTCAAGGAAGTTAGAGCGAAAGCTGAGTTTGCTATTGAATTACATAAGTCGAATGCAAGTAAAAAGAATGGCTCAAAAATAGTTAACAACGTTGTCAGTCTTCCTAAATTACCATATCAACAAAAGAAGACAGTTAATCCACCAGTATGTAGTGCAGACGAAAAAGTAGCTAGTAATCCATTGGAGGAATCAGACAGCGAATGACGGTCTGGTGCCAACAATTTTAATACACGTAAGAGTAAAGAAACTAAAGTTGGCAAAACCACTAAAAAGACTATTTTAAACGCTAATTTCGATCTCAAGAAATACAATCGAAAGAATCCAGGTACAGATTTACTTACTTATGATTCAGGTGCAAATGTCAGTTGTGTTAGCAATCCAAGATTATTAATCAACTTAAAGAACACTAATGCTGAGATTCACACTGCTGATGGAACTGCATTAAAGTCAAGAAAATATGGTGATTTGAAGATACAAGTAAATGGCGCAGATGTGATTTTAAAGGACGTTTATTGCATTGAAGGATTAAAATTCAATCTAATCGCAGCACGAAATTTTGATGTGTCAGGGAAAGCTTTATTGATAGGTGGAGGATGTATTCATTTATTTGATGAGGAATTGAGTGAACCTGTCGTTGTGGCTAAAGTTACGAAGGATATAGAATTATACCAGGGACCTCAATCTGGGAAGCTATTAATGGATATAGACCAAGAAAGCATAACAACCAGAATCGTTGACAGTTACATTGTCGTGGGAAAATTATTCGATAGTGATTTCAGTAAGGAAGAGTTGACGACAAGGAAGAAGCATATACCTAAAAAGAAAGTCATCAATAATATGGCTATGGGAAACAAGTACGTGACTGTATACAACCTACCTCAAGTAATTGCAGATCCACATGGCCGGAAAACTTTGTACAACTACCACATACAATTCTCACATATGTCACTCGAAAGATTGTTAATGCTTAAGAAGAGAGGTTTTTTGCATAGCACTACAAGTACAAGCATTGAGGAAAAGAGTAAGGTTTTAAACTGTCCATTGTGTAAAGCGTCAAATGCTAGGGAGACATCTCATAATAATTCATCAGATGAACCAATAGACAGGAATCAGAAAGTAGTAAGTGATACAATGGGACCATTTACGTCTTATCTAAAGAAGTATTACATAACCACGTTACAAGACTGCAAGAGTACTTACATGGAAATTTTCGTTACAACCACAAAAGCAGTTACAAATCAATTGGTTGAAAGGTTACAGGTATGGCAAAACAGATTCCCTACGTTACGAATTCGAAGTTTCAGGTCGGATAACGCACTTGAAATGCCAGGAAATGAAGTTTTGGGAAAGCTTGGAATTTTGAAGGATGAAATACCAAATCATTCACCTGAATTAAACGGTTCAGCAGAAGCAGCAAACAAAGTACTTCTCACTAACATAAGGAAAGTGGCTATGAATTTTCGACCATCGGTTTTGAAACTATTTCCACATATTGCCCAATATGCAAATGATATCAAAAATCATTCTCCACGGAGGGGACTAGATGGATATACACCTTATCAAGTATACTATGATCGTCCAAATTATATGTTGAATATTATGCAGTTCGGTATAGATGTTATTGTTAAATGTCTGAATAGACAAGAAGCTAAGCGATTCGGTTTAAATGTTAAAGAAAAATCTTATCCAATGGCAGCTTATGGTACATTATTAGGTTTTGGACAACAGAATAAGAGCTTTAAGGTCATGTTATCGGCACCAGGTTACCCAGTCGTCCTAACTCCGAATGTCAGGCCAATGAATAGCATGCACGTGATGAACAAATATTTAGATGATATTACAAATGAAGAAGCAGCTGCATTTGACATTGCCTTCCAACAATTACAGGAATATGTAACGGCGCAAGATTTCAAGAAAGTCAAAACAATACCGAAGCAAATGCGACCGACAGACTGGCGCATCAGTCCATAGAGGCTACACCANGCATTTGACATTGCCTTCCAACAATTACAGGAATATGTAACGGCGCAAGATTTCAGGAACGTCAACGAACAATACGAGGATGAAGAAAATGAAGGGCAGATGATGAATATGGAAAACGTACATAATACAACAACACAAATACCTTACAACTATGATGCAAACCTGCAATATCCACAATTTGGAACTTTCCAAGTGCCTCAAACCAATGGAAGATCATTAATGGAACAGATCAGAGAAGATACGAACAACATTTTTGGAAAACAAATAGTAAACCTGAGAAGTCAAATCAATGAATCAAATAGAATGAACATTGACGAAGATGATAACGAGACCATTATAGCAGACACTGATAGTGAAAGTGAGGATTTAGTTGAATACCCAGATGCAATAGCTCACAACTCAGAATTTCCCCCAGACTTGTCAAAACAATTTCAAGGAGAAGAAACAGAAAATGACGAAATAGAAGATGATCAAACAGACGAAGACGAAGAAGACGAAAGTCAAAACAATACCGAAGCAAATGCGACCGACAGACTGGCGCATCAGTCCATAGAGGCTACACCAGAAGAATTCGAAACAGTTAATAAGTCTGAAAAAGTGTCTTATGCGTATGATAATACGGGAACAGTTCCAACTGGGGAGAGATCAGTCGATTTAGATGAATTAAATCAAGGAAACGGGGAGATCAAACCTGACCTACAAGAAACTCAACCACTCGAACGGCCTTCTGAAGATGAGGAAATAAATATCTCCCATACACCAATTTTATCCGAACCTGAACTGAATAATGAGGAGGCACTCGCACCTAGACAATACGCCGAATCATCCAACTACCAAGTGCCAACAACTGAGGAGATAAATTCTAATCTAGATGATCTAACACATCTTAACGCACGAATTCAGGAGACCACGGATCGGATAGAACAAATAATCAAAAAGAAAAAGAAAAAACCACCACATCCTAACTTCGATATCCAGCACACACTAAAGAAGTCAATGAAGATGCTTGAATACGAGAAGGAAAAGGAGACGAAAAATAGTGAAACACATATTGCTGAAGAACTAACCAAAGAACCCACAGATCCAGTTGAAGATCTTGAAAAAGCCATACAAGCGAACTGGGGAGCAATTAAAGAACATCGACGTCAACTCACGGCAGCAGAAGAGGCAAGAATCGCCGACGAACTTACCGAAGCTTTACATAAGGAACCTCCCGATCCAGTCGAAGATCTCCAACAGGAACTCAACAAAAATCATGGTTTAATCCGCCAAGCTCGAATAAAAGCTGTAGCAGATGAAGAAGCTAGAATTGCTGAAGCACTCCTTACTAATTCTAATGATGAAGGTGACATAATTTCTGAACTCGATAAAGAATTAGCAGAAATTAGGGGAGAAGAGACCCACATCATAAAACACGTAGACATTGATTCAAAACCGGAGAATAAGGCAACCCATTATAAATATATACCTGAGAGAAATACAGTTAAGAGATCACGTATATATGAACCAAACGAATTCTCAAAGGTACATGTTGGTGAACAGAATGAACCAGAAGAGTATAGAACAAGAAGCGGTAGAATAGTAAGAAAACCAAAACGTTTCTTAAATCACTTGAACATGTACTTAAATCTGGTTGTAGAGTCGGTAGACATGAATGATCCAAAGTGGAAAAAGGCGATTACTGACGAATATATGAAATTGAAAAAGATGAACGTTTATGAAATTGTCGATATTCCGAAGAATGCAAAACCAATTCCAACAAGATTTGTCCACACGCAGAAGGATGAAGATTTAAAGGGAGATTTTGTCAAATCAAGAATTGTAGTACAAGGGTTTAGACAAGTGGAAGGTGTTGATTTTGATCCAGAAAGGATACTGTCACCAGTAGTTGGATTAGGTAGTGTAAAGTTATTATTTGCTATTGCTACAACTCATAATTTGCTTGTGCATCAATTAGACGTAAGCCTGGCATATCTACATGCTGAATTGACTAACAAGACTCCAGTATATGCGAAACCACCTAGAGGTTATGTTCCAAAAGGTTTTGAAGTTCCAGAAGGTAAATGTTGGAAGTTGAAGAAATCGCTTTACGGCTTAAAGCAAAGTGGTTTTGAATGGTATACACATTTCACTAAAATTCTATTGAATATGAAAATGAAACAATGTCATCATGAAAAGGCTATGTTCCATTATGAGACGAAGAAAGGTACGAAATTGATCGTTGCTTTATATGTTGATGATGTACTTATCGCTGCTTCAAATGAAAAAATGATCCAAAAATTTGTGCTGTTATTGGAAGACAAATTTGACTTAAAGTATTTTGGAGAAGTTTCAGAATACCTCGGAACTACATTTAAGAAAACAGAACAAGGGTATGAAATACACCAAGAAAAATATGTCAATGATGTGGTTCAAAGATTCAAACTTGATGAAATTACACACGATAAACGCATACCATGGATCCCGAAGGAATATTCACGAGACAAAGTCGTTAAATCCACAGATAAAGAAAATGATTTCCAAAAAGTAGAGCCACCTGAGCCATTAAGTGAAACTGAGAAGAAAGCATTTATGAAGGGAGTTGGGACATTGAACTGGTTGGTACTAAACACGAGAGCTGATTTGTCATGTATTACACAGAAATTGGCAACTAAGATGTCCAATCCAAGCAAAGATGATCTAAACAAATTATGGTACGCAATGGGATATCTAAAATGTCATAGGAACTTCAAACTTACATACAATCGTGGAAAATTATCAGAATCAGAATCGATATTGGAATGTTTCTGTGATGCTTCGTTTGCACCAGACAAGGATAGAAGGTCAGTTACAGGGTATGCAATCTATTACAACGGAAACTTGATTGATTATGGTACGAAGAAACAACCCAAAATAAGTGACAGTGCAGCAGCTGCAGAAATGTTGGCATTAGATACTGCAGTCAAAAGACTAAACAAGTTGAAATCCATTATAGAAGATTTAGGATACTCCGTGAATAAAACTCACGTATATGAAGATAATGAAGCGGTCATAACTATCCTAAATAACGACTATTTCCACACACATACACCTTTAGATATTACCTACAAATCTTTGCAAGAAAAATTGGGCAAGGAATTCACGATTTCATACATTAGATCAGAAGAGAACTTAGCAGATGCACTTACCAAATGCCTACACGCACCAAAATTCAACGAGATGATGTCAAAAATCCTAGATAGGCCAGATCTCAACGGTGAAGCATTCAACCCATCCAAATTAGGTAAGATCCCAGTTGATGCAAATGGATTTGAAATTAACACTGAAGGTCAATAATCAAATCTGGGGAGTGTTCGCATGTATATGTGTTTGAGACATTGGTCGTGTATTTGTTAAATTAGAAATGAAAAATTTTCAGTGAGAGAGCGATGAATAAAAATAAGAATTATTTTATAATTATATATTTGTTTTATTTTATAGATTAAGGGTTTTATATAGTAATAAACTACTAGTAAGAATCAAACATAGTTGTGAGGATCTCATAAGTTTAAGCTTAATATATTTATCTAAAACTAATCTAGTTACGCGGGCTAATCCATATTATAGGTGCGAACAA